TTGCACACCTACTGTGTTCAAAGTCTTGAAAAAAGCACCAAGATTCATTGCTGTGAGGATTCTCTTATTACAACACCCAAGCATGTACCTTCATTTCCACTGCTAATTTGTTGTTGTTGTGTACCGTTGAGTAAGATCCAATGGGCACAGGAGGAAATTGCCCCTCCTCCAGGCATCTGGTGGATTAGAACTGCACACCTTCGGGATTGCAGCGCAGCTTCTTGCCACTAGGCCACCAGAGCTCCCACCACTGTTAATGTTAGACTGGGGTACACTTGGTGGAATGCAGAGACAATATCACCAAATCATGTGCAACTCAACTTTAGGAGATTAGGAAACTACTTATGATCTCCATAAATACTGTTGTTGTTGATTGCCATCACATTGAACACAGCTCATAGTGACCCTATGAACAAAAAGCCTAAAACCTTTCTACAATTATTGTCATTTATCAAAGTTCATAGAGTTTCCAGAGACACGTTGTTTAGGAATTGGTAGGCTTGAAACATAGACAGGGTCGAAGTTGCTGATTCTCTGTGAAGACAGTCACCTCTCTCCCTGGAGGGTGGTTCATGAAGCCCACCCACCCCTGCACCTCTCTACCATCAGCCCAGTGTCACTAGAGGCCCCACTCTGAGCATCACACCCATTTGAAGGTCCTGCCCCTTAGGAAAAGCTGAGGGGAAGAACAAATCAACTTGTGCAATAACCCAGTAACAGGTAGTACTGACACACATGATCCTGGAAGGCCTGAGCCACTGTGCTCTTCCTCAGTTCTGAGTCTCCCAACACTCAGAGGGGATGCAGCGTTCTCCTAGGCAGTCCTAGGTCAACTTTCAAGGAAGCCTGCTCTTTTCTATGTTTCCCCTTGGGCTCCTTCTTCCAAAACTTCCTGAAACCCCAGCCTAGCCCCTCCAACTTTCTTTGGAGCAGGGGGTATATGTACAAAGAAGGAGTGGGTAGCTCAGGGATCTGGAGAAAAATTAGCAGCTCCTCTCTTCTTCTAGGAAGAGGACTCTGGACAGCCCCGCCTCTGATGGAGAAGAAGGTATTGAGTAAGTCGAAGGATTAGACTTGTGTCCAGGCAAAGGTCGCCATCTTGACAATCAGCCAGGAGGAAGAATCAGGTCCAAGGGACAGGCCACTGAGGATGGGATCCTCTGGTATTCTCACTTCAGTTGGAATCTACCTGACACCATGTGAAGGTGCTCAGGAACCACCTTTGCCTCCAGAGGAAAAGCTGGGAGAAAAAAAATCAACCTTTGTCAACCTGTCTGACTACTCAGCTTTAATAGGTATTATAATTTATTAAAGCTCAGAGGTTAGGTAACATGCCCTAAGGTCATGCACCCATGTACCCAGGCAGTGGAGGAGTCAGGGCTATAGCCCAAGTTAATTTGCCTCAAAGTGTTTCTGTCAGGTCAGAGTGGGGGATCTGAGGTGTTGGGCTGAGTGCTTGACCTGACAAGGAAGCGCAGAGGACAGAAGCCAGGAGGTTTCTGCTCCATGGCAGCTGGACCCCCAGTGGGATCATACGTTGCTTTCTCTTCCCACTCTATGAGCCTACGGATCCTTTGAGGACTGAGGATCGGCTCCAGAGTCTCTTTATCCACAGCACCACGGATGAGGAGGCAGATGAGCTCTGGAATGTTTGCTTGAGACACATGAGGGTTTCTGAGAGGAAGTGAGAGAGAAATCAAGCAAAACCACCACCGTCAGCAGAAAAGGATGTAAGAGCCAGAAGGGAGACGAGTTAGGCCCAAAGTTGTGAAAATCTAATCTCACTCCATAAATGGGTGTCTTCTGACACAGAGACAGAGTGCCTCTGGTGCCTTGTACCACATTTCCTACTGTACTTCCAAACTAGGATATTACAGACTTTGAACAAACCACAGAACTTGCCCTATTTATACTTCCTCTGGGGGAAAAAAGTGAAAGGTCAGAATGTTACCTGAGGTGGGCTGGGTAGCATCACAAAACACGTGTACTTTGGGGACTGACTTTTGCATTTGGACTTTGAAGGGTCCAGAAGGCTTGAGAGAGGCCTGGAGGCTGGAGCTTGCAAGTGGTAGGGCTTACTTAGGGGAGCTCTGGAAGGGAACAAGCAACAGACACACAAGGACCCAGTGTCCTTCATCCATATCTCATGTACTTCCCAGCCTTCTGGTTGTTAGCTACCTGACTCACGGATCTCGCCATGTAATGCAGTATAGCATCATGCCGTTCTCCAGGACTGCTGTTGGTTACACCGTTGTAATCTAGTGATCCCCAAGGTTTTCACTGGAAGGTAAACATCCAACCTCTTCTTGCTAGTCAGCCTTATTCTGGAAGCTCGAGTGAAATCTATTGAGCAACATAGCCAGGACTTTTGAATCTATTTGAAATGGTTCAGTGATGAAACCTAGGAATCTCATAACTTCACATTGCACAGCAATGAAATCTCTTGTGACTTTGACCTCAGCAGGAAACAGGCAGCACTCAAAACTCCACTCAACAAACAACAATAAAAAAAACCCCACCAAACAAACAAAACCCAATGCTGGTGAGGTTGTGGAGAGATTGGAATGCTTATTCACAGATAGTGGTAGTGTAAAATGGTGCAACCAGTATGGAAGGCGATACGGCACTTTCTAAAAAAGTTGGAAATAGAAATACAGTTTGAGCCAGCAATTCCACTACTTGGAATACACCCTAAAAAACTAGAGCTGCCACCCAAACACACGTATGCATTCACACCCATGTTTATTGCTGTTCTTCACAAAAGCCAAGAGATGGAAGCAACCCAAGTGCCCATCAACAAATGAATGGTTAGAAAAACTATCGTATATTCACACAAGAGAATACTATGCAGCACTGAAAAATAAGGAATTTTTAAAACATGATGCAGCATGGGTGACGCTGCAGACATTAGGCTGAGTGAAATATCTCTGTTACAAAAGGACAAATATTGCATAACACCACTGTTATAAAACAGGACTGACATGAGGGTTTGAAGGAAACTAGGAAAGTGGGGATAGATAATGAACAGTGTATTGGAACAGATGAAGAAAAGAACTATTTAAGAGGAATGTATGATTAGGTATTATTTGTACGTCAACAGTTCAGAATAAGAAAAGTAGACTGGGGAAGGTGGAGGAGGGGAAGAAATTGTGCAAAAATGAATAAATTTTTTTTAAAAGTGAATTGGGCAGGTAGGGAGGAAAATGTGCAACAATGAATGAGTCAAAATCCAACTTTTCTGTAAATTTTCACTAAAATCACAATTTTTTTTTTTAAAAAAGTGAACTGGCGAGGGTTAGGGAGGGAATATGCAACAGTGAATATTTTTTTAAAAATGAAAATCCAACTTTTCTGTAAGCTTTCATTAAAATCACAATAGGAAAGAACCCCAAAACCCCACTAAAAATGGCGGCCGACCACATCTGCTTGAACACGTGTCAACCACCATGTTTGAGTGGAGCACTGCTTCCTATTTCCTAGCTGGATTAAAATCCACCCTGCAAGAGTTGTGTACGCTTGGGCCATAATCAAACAGGTTTGAAGCTTTGATCAAAGCAACAAGGAAGCCTCTGCTGACAGGTGTTCATGGCTGCACTTAAGATGCATTTGCCTGGAAGAAAACCTCATGCTCCCATAAGAAAGGTGTGAATTCCATCACTTATCCGCACTGCCTCGACCCACCAGCTTTCCCAGAAAACTAGGTACAGTGTTATGAAAGATGTGGCACCCTGAAGAGATTTCTAGCTTTTAAGAGCCATCAAGTTCAAGACACTGTAATCTCAGAATTCGAGTTAGAAGAGGAATTTACTTCTTCTTCCAACTTGTTCTACCTCAACTTTTTTTTCCTTTTTCTAGGATGAAATGAAGTCCTCTCAGAATTCTCCCCATTCCCCTTGCCCAGGTGTTCAAAATCAGGTGCTGGCCCCAGTCAGACCCAGGACCATGGCCCAGCTCACAGGTGGGGCCAGCTGGGTGCTGAAGACAAACGCGCTCAGGAGCAGCACCGCAGACACTCAGCTCACCCTTCGATTTGCAGATTTAAGGGCTCCTCCCTGCAGACTGGCAGCACCAGTAACGCAGCTTTCCTGACTGCAGCAAAGTCAGTCCAAGCCACAGTCTTTGCTTTCCAGCGCTCACTCCACTCCCTGCATCCCCAAGCCTGACAAAAGCACGCCCAGTGGTAGGCTGGCGTGGCATGCACTAGAACTGATTGCAACTCTGTGATTCTATAGGACAGGGTAGAACTAACTGCTTCATAGGGTTTCCTGGCTGGTACTCTTCTGAGCTGCAGCCACCAACTAACTTTCGGGTTAGGTCCTGATTAACCGCGATGCGACCAGGACTTGTCAAACCAAAGGCACCGCGAATGAGTGGATTCTGACCCAGCAAGGGCTCTTGTCGGCTGCTATCAGATCGACTATGACTCATACATAGCAAACCCAGGAAAACAGATAGAAATCTTGCCCCATCATGTGCCATCCACGATCAGCGTGGTTCCTAGAAGGAGCAAAAGTAGTGCTTGCCAGCAGCCAATAAGCAGGAAATACCAGGTTAAGTGTTAGCACACGACACAGAATCGTACAGTAGGGCAAGCATTGGACCTGTTGTTCGTAGGAGTCCCCGTTAACTCCAAGACACAACAGCAGCCAGCATTCCTCAAGGGGTCTAGCCCACAGGCAGCCTTGTAGGGAAAGGCCCGGCCTTGGCCTTCGCTGCTCTCTCTGGCTAGGCTACCCAAGGCCCCCGGGTCTCTATGTGTGCAGGACGGGAAGGATCTAGCGTCCAGAACCAGAACCAGAGGTTCAGGGCACAGCTGTCCACTAGCCACTGACCGAGCTCGTGCGGGTCAGGTCAGCTTTTCCTGTTGCCCAGATGCTAGGGTGCAGCGCACTGGCTCCCCAGCGCGCGCCACCCAGAGGTGGGGAGCTGCAGGCTCGACAGGACCTCAGCGGCCTGCTCCCCGGGGGGCTGGCCCTTCCCCTCTGCTCCCGGGCGGGTACCTGAGCTGTCGAACGCCCTGCGAGATCGCTTCCCGCCAGCCTCGGACGAGGACGGCGCGGGCTCCCAGCACCCCCGGGCCCCCCGCGCACAGCCTCCCGAGGCGCAGCATCCCGACGCAGACAGCCATGGGGAGCTTTTGCACCCCGTCCTGGACCCAGCAAATTTTTAAAGTGAGCCGAGGCGGGGCGAGGCGGGAGCGGCGGGGAGGCGGGAAGGGTCGCCTCTGCCTATGGGGCGCGGAGGACGGGGACCGGCGGGGCGGGGCGAGGAGGGGGCGGCCCCGGCGGCACCTTCGCTCGGACCCGCGCCCTCCCCCTTCCACCCTCCGACAACTCTCCCGGTTTCTGCCCAAGTCTCGAGGCCCGGGCGGCAACCCCGGGCGGGCAGGTCCCGCGTCCCAGCCGGAGGGGCCTGGGTGTTGGGGCGCCGGAGTTTGTGAATTTCATGGAGCGCGAGGCGGGGCGCGAGTGCGGGCGGGGCGCCAGGCGTCCGGTTTAGCGCACGGGTCACGTGCTGGCGCCGGGGGTGGCGAGCCAGAGGCCAAAGGAGCCAGCTGGAGCCACCCAAGGCGTGCCAGCTGGAGCAGAGGGCCCTGGGGGAGGGGACGGGAAGCCGCAGGACAAAGGGGACGGTGGGCGACCCCCACTGGGCCCGCAGGCTGAGGCCAAGTGTGAGTTTACGGAGGGACCCAGCTGGGGCTCACATCCCTCCCCCAGAGTCTCCACAGTTGGGCTGGCCATACAAAGTAAAGTGACATCGAAGACAGGGACCTGCTTCTCATCTCCCTCTGCCCGCCCAGCTCACACAGAACCAACCACTAGATGCATTGAGTAGATGACCTGGTCAGTGCGCACTGCTTGCTCTCTCCCCACCACTCCTTAGGGTCCCTGAGGTCCAGGTGTGCCTGGGGAGTTAAGCTCTGGGCTGGGCTTCAAGGGGAAGAAGGTCCACCCCTGGTCTTGGCGGGGGAAGGGGACACTCGCACGCATGGCCAGCAAGTTTATGGATGGACCAGGTCCTCACCAGCCTAGCCTCTACTCTTCCTCTAGAAGAGGGAGACCGAAAGGGAGCAGGGAGCCCAGGCCCGTCACTCTCCCTTCACCTAACTCGGAGGCATGATGTAAGCAGAGTCAGGCAAAGGACCTGCCAAGGGTGGGGCCTGGCCCAGGAGACCTTTGCCCTAACAGAACTTGTGGCTCCACTAAGGTCCTGAGAAGTCCACTCCTCTCCTCTTTAAGTTCTTCAGAGTGACCTCAAGAAACCCCAGAGCTCTGGCTCTTAAAGCAGCACCTCCCTCTTCCAAGTGGGGTCAGCAGGAAAGTCAACAAAAGAGCAGAGAGATTGTAAAGAGCTGGGCTAGCAGGTCCCCCTTGTTGGTCTAGTGCTGGGTCTCTGACAGCCCAGCTGGTGGATACCAGGTTCTGAGAAGTTCTGAGTCCTGGACTCTAGTCTATCTGGCACCAGCTGTGTCATAGGTTGCTGGGTGACCGTGGGTAAATCCCTGCCCCTCTCTGGGCCTGTGAAGTGAGGATGGATAGTCATCTCAGACCCTACTTGCTAATTTGAGGTCAGTCCTGAGGCAAAAGGAGGCTAGTTTCTCCAGGAATTTTCTCCTGTTCTGCTTTCCTGACTCCACCTCCCGAAGGCTCCCAGAGAGATAGCAATGAGGTAGCGTGGAATCACTGCCAGTCCTACAAGAAGAGATGCATCGTGGAATGTGCCTCTGATTTTACTGAATGAGAAATGAGGCTCAGGGAGGCTCAGCTACTCCTGTTTGTCAGAGGTGGAGCAGTGGGCACCCTGAACAACAAAACTGTTCACACAGCAAGCAACAAATGTTGGAGAGCATGTGGAGAGATGGGAACTTTTCCACTGTTGGTAGGATTGTAAAATAAATGTTACATCCACTCTGGAAGGCAGTTTGATGTGTCTCCAAAAAGCTGAACGTGGAGATTCCATAAGACCCCGTATACCACTGCTAGGAATATACCCCAAGGAAAATAGAACTGAGATACAAGTGGAGAATTGTACACCGGTGTTCAAAGCAGCATTATTCACAGTAGCAAGAACAAGGAAACAGCCAAAATGTCCATCAACAAATGGACTGAGTTGAGAAACTGTGATACATTCACACAATGGAATACTATTCAGCACTCAGGAGCACCGATTTTGAAAAACACTCTATAATATGGGAGAAGCTAGAGAGCATATTGCTGAGCAAACTAACTCAAGCTCATAAGAACAAATATTGTATAAGAATATTGTTGTACAAAACAACTATGAGATATCATCTCACCCCAGTAAGAATAGCAAAATTTAACAGAACAGCAAACAATAAATGCTGGTCAGGTTGTGGAGAAACTGGAACCCTTATTCACTGTTGGTGGGAGTGTAAAATTCCACTATGGAAGGCTGTATGTTGCTTTCTCAAAAAGTTGCAAATAGAAATACCATTTGACCCAGCAATTCCACTACTGGGAATATACCCAAAAGAAACCAGAGCTGTCACCCAAGTAGATAAATGCACACCCATGTTTATTGCTGCTTTGTTCACAATAGCAAAAAGTTGGAAACAACCCAAGTGCCCATCAACAAATGAATGGACAGAGAAGCTGTGGTATATTCACACAATGGAATACTATGCTGCACTGAAAAAAAGGAACTCATGAAATATTGTACAAAATGGGTGACCCTGGAGACATTATGCTGAGTGAAATGTCTCAGTCACAAAAGGATAAATACTGCATAGTGCTACTGTTGCAAAATGAGACTGACACTGGGGTTGGGAGGAACCAAAAAAAAAGAGGGGATAAATATTGTATACTGGATTGAAGCAGATAAGGGAGAGAAATGTTTAAAAAGAATATTTGATTAGGTATTACTTTCATAAGTTCTTTGGAGAGGGACATCATGCTGGATAGAGTAGAGAGACAGCGCAAGAGGGGAAGACCCTCTATGAGGTGGATTGATTCAGTGACTGGGGTAATCAGGATGGGTGTGTCAGAGGCAATGCGATTGGCATAGGATAGAGCAGGGTTTAGGGCTGTTGTACATAGGATCGCTATGAGTCGCAAATGACTCGACAGCACATAACAACAACAACAACATTATTTTCATGGCAAGATTCCAGAAAAAGAAATGTGTAGTAAAGTGGACTGTGGACAGGAGTGGGGTGGTGTAGGCAGCGGGGGATTGTATAACAATGAAAGAATTTTTTTTCTTTTCAAAGAGAAAAGCAAACTTGGGGGGAGGGGTGGGCAGGGAGGAAAATGTGCAACAATGAATTAATGAGAAAAAATTAAATGGGAAGCATAAAAGAATATTGTTGTAAAAACAGAGGAATAATCAGTGAGATGTGTATGGACATACAGAGAGGGAAGGAGAGAGGGCAGGGCGCTGAGGGAGGGGAGGGAGAATTACAGGATCCAAGAGTTCCATAGGGGGAGGGAAGGAGTGGACAAATGTACATGAATGAAGTATAAGAATAATAATAATAATAAAACCACTCTGCTCACGGTCATGTGTGGTTTGGGAAAGTCACAAGTTTATCCAGCATAGTGTCCACGGTTCAATGGAGGTGATGATACCACTTGCACAGAGAGGGATCGGGGGAGATGTAAGTGGCACAGATCTGTACTTGGCTAGTCATCAGTGGCTGGTAGTCTCTTTCTTCACCCTCTTTCCTCCCTGTCTACATTCTAACACCTTCCACCGCACTGCTGCTCTTGCTGGTGCTGTTGTGTGCTGTCGAGTTAATTCCACCCCGTTAACGGCCCCATAGGATGGACTAGAATGGCTCCCTAGGGTCCTTAGGCTGTAAGCTTTGCAAGAGCAGGCTTCTAGGTCTATTCCTCTTGCAGGGTTTCTGGCAGCTTTGAACCCCTGACCCTTAACAATCAAGTGCTTATCCTTTCTACCAGGAGGGCTCCTTCTCCTCTGTTCTGGATGTTAGAAACCTTTCTTAGGAGAAGTAATTTTCGTGTCTGTAAAGCCTTCAGGGGTGTGGTAGGTAGGCACTGGTTCTGCGGAGGGGGAGGACTGAAGGAGAGTGGAGAGGATTGGTGTGGGGATCACTCCAGTGGGGCAGGTCAGCCTTCCAAGCCCTGCAGCTTCTCTCCTGCTCTGGCTCATTTCCTCGTGCCATCTGGAGAGGGTCCATCATACGTCTCTCCCTTTTTGCCAATATCCTCCCTTCTGTGAAAGAAACAAAGCAAAACAAAAAACAGGCTAAAATGTAAACATCACTCTCTGGTTTTTAAAAATTCTTAGCATCCACCTGTGAATACAGTACACTTGATCTTGGTGAGACAGCAGAAAGGAAATGCTATTAACCTTCAACTGCTAATATTGGTCCATCTTTCATTCATTGAGGATCTCAATCGTTGTTGCATGAGATCTGACTCATAGCTTGTAGCTGACCCTCCAGTGGCCTTTCTTTTTCTTTTCTTCTTTTTTCCCTTGTTGTATACCGTCAAGTCAGATCTGACTGGCTCCTTCTCCAGTGGAGCATCTGTGTGGATTCAAACTATGTGATTTTGGGATTGCAGCTCAGCTTCTTGTCACTAGGCCACCAGAGCTCCCTTCCAGTGGCCTTTCTAAGGCTGTGAATCAAGAGAGGAAAGATTCTCCATCTTTTCCCCCTGGAGATTCTCTCTCTCTCTCTGTTTTGGATTACAATGTCCTTACCTTAAAAACTAGTGAAAGCTCCTGTGGGTGATGGAATATGCATTAAAGTCACAAAGCCAATGACTATATGTATAAAAAGAACTAGCCAGGTTAAGAGGGAGGGCGCTCTGATGGGCGCGGTCATAGAGTTGAACTAACTCAAAGTAGACGCCTTCCTGTCAGTTTGAATGCACCAGCTTCTCCACAGGAGAAAGATGCATAACTTCCTCCTGTGCAATTGACAGCCTCTGAAACCCCCCAAGAGTCAGTTCTGACTCGATGGGCAATGAGAGGGAGAAAGAAAAAAGGGAGCTCTGATGGCGTAGTCTGTATGAAGATCACTGCTGACCGAAAAGGCCACCTGGCCCTGGTGGATGGAACCCACCAAGTGGCTCCGAGGGAGGAAGATGGGCAATCTCCTCCCGTGTGATTTACAGCCTTGAGTAACTCAGCGACTAGTTG